CTATGGTGTATTTTGAATTAAGTTCTGTGTATGGTGTGAAGTATGGTTAAAGATTCACCTTTTTCCACATATTTAGCTAGCTGTTACAGCATCAATGGTTGAAAAGCTGTTTCTTTACCCACTGAATTGCTTTGGTACTTTGAAGATAAGTTAATGGCACAAGTATAGATCTTTGTGTAGACTCCTCCTGTTCTGATCTATTTGTCTATTGCTACAGCAATAACATTGTCTTGATTATTGCAGTTTCACGGTAAGTCTTGAAATCAGGTAATGTAAGTCTTCCAACATTGCTGTATTCTTTTTATGCACTATTTTGGCTATTCCAGGTCCTTTACAATTTTATAAAAACTTTAGAATCAGATTTCTAATTTCTACACATAAACTTGCTGGAGTTTTTCACTGGGATTATGCTGAGTTTAAAGATCAATTTGGGAAGAATTTACATCTTAATATTAAGTTTTCTAACCCATGAACGTGATATGTCCTTCATTTATTTAGGTTTTCTATCTCTCAACACTGTTCACAGTTTTCAGGGTGGAGGGCTTGCACATATGTTATTAAATTATAGATGTGTGTTTTATATTTTTTATTGCTATTTTAAGTAGAATTTAAATTTTTTTCTACTTAAAAAATTTTGTATTTTCCAATGGTTTTCTTGCTAGTAAATGGAAATACAATTAGTTTTTGTACACATTTTACATCATGTGAACTTGCTAAAGATACCTATTAGTTGTAGCATCTTTTTTGGAGATTCCTCAGAATTTATACATAGATAGTAATGCCACCTGCAAATAAAGACAATTTTACTTCTTTTTTTCTTTGTATTTTTGAGTTAATAACCTCAGTTCCTATTCCTTTCTAATCTGCATGCCTTTTACTTCTTTTCCTCAACTGAATATCTCCAGCACAAAATAAGAGAGAAGTGGATATAATGAATGTCCTTATCCTAGTCTTGATATTACCAGGGAAAATGTTCATTCTTTTACTATTAAATATGTTTTTAGCAGTACAATTTTTTATATGCCCTTTATCACGTTGAGACAGTTTCCTGTTATTCCCAGTTTGTTGAACATTTCTATTAAAATTGGATGTTTAATATTGATAATGTGGTGAATTACAGTGCAAACCAACCTTGTATTTTTAAAATAAATCCCATTTGCTCATGAGTATTATCCTTATTATATACTGCTGGATTCCATCTCATGTTATTTTGTTAAGAGTTTTTGCATCTACTTTTAGGAGGGATATTGGTCAGTAATATTCTTTTCTTATAATGCCATTGCCCAGTTTGGGTAGCTAGAATATGCTGGTCTAATAAAATGTGTTGAGAAGCAAATTTCCCCTTTTCTATTTTCTGAAAGTTGTGTAAGATTGCTATTATATTTTCCTTAAATGTTTGCTAGAATTCACAAGTGAAGACATCTGGGCCTAAAAGATATAGAACTACTCAGATGTTTACATTTCTTTCTGACAGTTTTGCTAGGTTGCATCTTTAAAGAAATGTGTTCATTTTATCTAGGTTGTTGAATTTGCTGGCATAAAGCTGTTCATAATATTCCTTAACTATCCTACTACTGTGTGTAGAATCTCTGGGATGTCTCCTCTTTCATTCCTATTACTGGTAATTTATATGTCCCGTCACTCTCTCTCTCTTATTTTTGGTTTTTTACTTTCTTGATCCCTCTAGCTATCTAGGATTTATCCTTTCTATTAATATTTTCAAAGAAACAACTTTTGGTTTCACTGATTTTTCTCTACTGTTTATTTTCTATGAATTTCTGCTCCTATTTATTATTTCCTTCATCCTGCTGTATTTTAATTATTCAGATCAAAGTATTTTCTAATTTCCCTTTTAATTTCTTCTTTCATCCATAGGTTATTTAGAAGTGTGTTATTAACTTTCAAAATATTTGGGGATTTTCCAGATCTTTGTTACTGATTTCTAATTTAATTCCATGTAGTGAGAGAATGTTCTCTATCTGATCCTTTTAAATTTATTAAGACATGTTTTATGGCTCATCAAATAATCTTGGTGAATGTTCCTTATTCACTGAAAGAGAATGTGTATTCTGCAGCCTGTTGGGTGCAGGGTTCCATAAGTATGAATGAGGCTGAGTAGGTTTACAGCATTTTCCAATTCTTCTTTACTCTCACTGATTTCCCATCTTCTTGTGCTACCAATTCCTCAGATAAAACTGTTGAAATTTCCAACTATAATTGTAGATTTGTCTATTTCTCCCTTCATTTCTGACACGTTTTGCTTTATGTATTTAAAGCTCTGTTATTAGGTACATATGGTTTTAGGATTTTTATGTTATCCTGATGACTCTTTTATCAGTATGAAATATCCCTCTATATCTCTGGTAATAACTCCTTGCTCTGAAGTCTACTTTGTCAAATATTAGTAAAGCCACTCCAGCCTTATTATAATTAACATGCTTAGAAGTTTTGATGCACATAATAAACAGTTAAATTTCATTAACAAAATATAAATGGTGATTAGAACCCATTGCTCATTAACTTCTGTGAAATAATCTCTGATTAAGAATGTATGTGTATATATAATTATTTCAAGCACTGACCTCGTCAATAAAAGGTATTAATACCACAGCTTCCCATTCCTGTTGTTTTCCATTTAGGTCAGTTTTAAAATCAGGTGGATAATATTCTATAATTGGTGAGTCTTCACTGGTCATCAAATGCTGTGAAAATATAAAATAGTATAATAAAAGTATAAGGACTAACATCAATATAGCTTTTTGTTAATGTATTTATATTTCCTCACATGTTACAGTTTAAAATTTCTAAGTAAACATATCTTAGATATTTTGCACTATACTGGCTATATCTGGATTTTCAACTATAAGAATTCTAGGGCTGGCTAGTTAATTCGGTTGGTTAGAGCATGGTGTTGATAACACCAAGGTCCAGGTTTTGATCCCTGTACTGGCCAGCTGCCAATAAAAAGAATCGTAATTTCACTGCTGTTCACCACTTTCCTGTTTCATTAACCTAGTTATATAGCAAAATCACCTGTACACTGAACTTTAATTATGCCATTTTTTTTACACTGTCTTTTCACTCTACAAGACCCACAACCTAAATTCTGTTTTCCTATTCAGATTTTTTTTTTCCTTTTTGTCTTTTTTCGTGTCCGGCAACGGATCGCAACCCTCAGTGTTGCGCCNGTACCGGACCGGGACCGGCAATGGGATTGCAACCCTCGGCGTTGCTTCCACACCGCGCTCAGCCAGTGAGCGGGAACCGGTCTGTATGTGGGATCCGAACCCTCGGCGGGAGCGCCACCACGCTCCCAAGCGGCGCACTGTAGCAGTGTGCCACTGGGCCGGCCCTATTCAGATTTTTTAAAATTCATTTCACAGGCTTCTAATAGCCCTCCATTTTTAACCTCAAATTAATAATCTATCTTTGTGTCCTATACAATTGATTCTTTTAAGTGATATAAAAGCTGCCACCCAAGATAATTTAAAAAGAAAAAAACCAAAATCCTAAAATCCAAGAACTGATGCACCACTAATACCAAAGAGAAGCAGTCTAATAAGACGATAATAGTATTAGAGATTTTTATTTATAACATTATTACATTTTACCATAACATTATTATATTAGATTTCATTATAATATTATTAGATTTTTATAACAGAGGTAGATAAAGAAAGTATAAGGATGTCTTCTAGGAAATGAATATAGATTCTGATAAAAAAAATTTTTAAAAGAAAATAAAACAGCATATTCCCATACTCAAAATATTTAATAACCAGTATGGCATGGGCACTGCGTAGTCATAACTGATGTGGCTATATAACACTTGCATGGTCATACTGGCCTAGA